CTCACTCACTGTCACTAAAGCTCTGCACTCTCCTCACTCAGATTTGAGCAGGATTGAAAATATCTCTTGATTTTCTGTTTGCTCGGAAACGAATCTTTTATTCTTGAACAAAAAAAATTTGCAGAAACTGGTGAGAAAGCGATTCGGGAAGTGTTCGTGCTGAGGCAAGCACTGATTATTTGATATTACATCTTATTTGAACGCCTCAAGTAGACGAAATAAAAATAAAAAATGCGCTATCAGAGACAAGTGAGACATAAATGCCAGCAGAGGCCCACCTTGATGAAATTTGTTATATGCAGAAAGTGCATAGAACGGAAGTACCACTCGTTGGAATTTTGCCCATGCCCAGAAGTTTTGCTGACCGCTTGCAGAAAAGTACTAATTTGCACCTCGCCTGCCCCCAGCGATTATCTGTGTGCTACAGGCGATTTAAGAAGATGGCCTTATATACGTTTTGACTGGAAGAGTTTCAACATATTCCAACGTTGAAGCATCTAATCAGTCCCCTTGAGAAAGCTGCACTTATTCTTCAAAGCCCCAACTTTCGTTCATTCTGATACATTGAGAGTAATAGGAATTGACAAAACATCTTTTTCGTTCTTTATACGAGCAGCTCAGCAGCTCAGCTCGTGAAATGATGTATAACGTATGTTTCTTTTAGGTGGTACGCAGCACAGTATTGGGTTCTTGGATCGTTGGGTATTTTGATTATTGTGATTGAACTTAAAAAAAGCTTTTGTACATGAAATCAGGGTACAACCAAAGCACAAATGGAAATTTCATCAGCCTAAGGAAGTGAGGGAACGTGAGATCAAGCAAACATACTATCTAAGGCACAACTGCTTACCATTACAACTCGAATGCGTACAAGCTAACTCTAACTCTTTTTAACTTTCCCAGCGAAAAAAGTTCTACTTATTGCTCTAAAAATTTTAACAACTACAATGAGAAGCGAACATATAACCATGGTAGCAACGGCTATCACATCAAGATTGAAGTAGACGATAAAATTCAATCGAGAGCCCTGTACGTGTAGAACATCCAGAACACCATTCTCAACAGCAAAATTGGTCCACTGAACAAGCCGTTGTTCGGCGGTGAATGGTTTCTCTCGCATTAGCTTCGACATGCGCATAGCATTTTGCTTGTAGCTAAAAACAGAAGCTTTCGGCTCACAATTGTTCGGATGCACGTTGAACCAATGGTAGAACTTCTTACCTATTATCACTCAATATCTCCTGTATAGCAGATCTTATCTTATCTTCGGAAAGTTCCAGTTTCAGAATCACCTGAATAGAGTTGTTTTATGGCCCAAAGCCATCAATGGCTTTGCACTGTTATACAGTGAATTGTATAGAACCATCACCTTTCCTACTCCACGTTTTTCAACGTTCCTACCATTGCGAAATTGGTCAGCAAACATTGGTATAACCAGAACAGGAACTCCTCTAAGTAAGGCTTCCTCTAACCCATTGATACCGCCATGCATCACAAAGAGTTTTAGTCGGGGATGGGCTAAGTCGGGATATTTGGTAAATCAATAAAAGGCTTATCCCCACCTAATATGTCGCTCTGAGGTAACCACTCAATAAAGTCGCAGTTGGAAGCATCCTTGAAGAATGATGGTGTACTAGTGTCGCCTGAAAACCATTGAGCATGCATGCATGCTTTGAAAAGAAACGAATGTCTGCTAGAGTAATTTGCTGGTGATTACTATCGAAAATCTCAGATCTGTACGCTAAACAGGTTACCACGGCTATAAAATCACAAAAAGAAGGTTTATGTACTTTATTTTCAGGTGTATAAGCCGCACTCTGTTTGCTCTAGAGGCGAACATGCCAAAAAAATTGCTTGTTACCACGGGGCGTGTTAAGTGAGAGCAATGTGCGAGAAAGCGACTGCTTCTGCGAGACACATGCGCAGCGGCACGTCTGGTCTGCGTTTAGAGCAAAGAAGGTGTGGCTTATACATCTAAATAGGGTAAATCTTTCAAATGACAGGCTATAAAAAAAACTGGGCAATATTCATCAAATCAATTAAATTAGCTTTGTAAAAAATGCCAGGAGAGCGGCTACCGCCACGCCGCTTTCTTAAAATCTTTAGCCTACAACATTGTGCCAAAAATTGTTTTAAAGTTTCTGTAAAGTCACGCCTTCCATTCGAAAACGAGTTTTGTCACTCTCGCTTCCCTCTTCCCCGTTTCCGGAAAAAATTTACCGCCGCTGATTGGTCTACAATCTCATTCATCTTGTTCGAATTGTTGATTAGACATACTAAATTGTATGAATAAGAAATCTTGAAATTTTCAACTAGCTATATAACATTCGACATGATCGACTTCCTAAGCATAAATCTTTCATATGTCTGCCTGTCTGTCTGTCTGCCTCCTG